AGGCCTGTAACTTGCCATTTTCGACAACTACACTTTTTCTCATCCAATACAACATCCCAACGATATCCTTTGTACTTCACTTCTGCTTTATTATCACTGCTTCTACAAACTTGATATTCACCCAAGTTCTACATGAGAAAATAAAAAAAGAACAAACTAATATCAGGAAAAATATATATGTTTAATGCAAAAACAATTATGTATATATATAGTTCGTTAACTTGCCTTAGTGATTGTTTTGAGATACTTATTTGCTTTTGGAAGTAGTGGTCCTTTCCATTTTTGCACCTTACTCATTTTCTTGTCAAATCGTTCCATAAGCTTTTCTCTAATTGCATCAAGGAGATCAAGCACCGGTTTATAACGTATGTCACCTACCCAAGAGTTAAAAGTTTCTGAAATGTTGTTGGTAATGTAATCACACTTGACAAGTGTGCCAAACTTACTTCTACTCGATATCTTTTTATGGTTCTCATTCAAATATGAAATTGCATCTGCACATTTAGTAGCAATTTCATTTAATAATCTATCATGCTTACTAACAGAGTAGGTATTTGCAGCCTCCCATAGTTTGCTCATGAAAAAGTCACCTCGAAAATGTTTCTTGAAGTTGCTACATAAATGTCTTATGCATTCTCGATGCTCAATATTAGGATAAACCTGTGTAATAGCTAATTCCAAGCCTTTTTGCATGTCAGAAGAGATAACAAGACCATTTGGTGTACCAATCGCTTTTTTTAGTGACGCGAGAAACCAAGTCCATGATTTTGTATTCTCTGCCTCAAGCACACCATAGGCTACTGGAAACATACCATTGTTACCGTCGATACTTGTGGCAGCGGCTAACACACCATTAATTTTCCCTTTCAAATGACAAGCATCAAGCCCAATGTAAGGACGACAACCAGCAAGAAACCCCTTAGAGCATGTTGTTAATGATATAAAAAAGCGTAGGAAATGTTTCTTTTCACCAACTGTCTGTAAATCAATCTCCACCACACTTCCTGGGTTTCTTTTTTCAAGTTCTTTTTTGAAATCATATATATTTGCATAAGAGTCATCCCACTTGCCATACATATCGGTATAAGCTTGTTCTCTTCCTCTAAAGACTCTCATATATGGTACTTCAACATTGTAGGTATGCATAAGCCACTTTTTTAGGTCGGCAGGAGAGACATCGCCTTCAGATTTCAACTTGTCGGTAACAACATCAGCAATCCATCCTTGAGTGGCATGTTTGTTACCACTCTTGTTGCTTCGAGTACAAGAATGAGTTTCTATAAAAAATTTTACCTACAAAATTGAAAAAAAAACATATAATTATGTTACCATAATAACAATATCGACGAATGTAGTATTTCTCAAAATTTATACTTACTTCAAAAGTAACCCCATCTTGTGTAAGAGAAGCATGAATTCTCCACTTGCACTTTTTATCTCCACAACATGCTGTAAGTCTTGTCAAATCACTTTTCTCAATGACATACTCAAATTCATTTGTTAGTGCATAATGGTTTAATGCTCTTCTAAAAGCAATTACACTTGGGAATTTAGAATTCACTTTCATAAATGGATTCACCTTACTATATGCATAAGTTTCCCCATAATTTAGAAGCTCATATTCGTTATCGGAACTATGAGGACTATGATAGCTTTCTTGACTTGGACAAACTGAGTCTGTCTCATTTTCATCATCAGATTCATCAATAACTTTATCTTGGCAACTTAACGGTTTAGGGTTATACCTTAATTTTTCGGTTGTCGCATAAATTGTTACTTCTTTCTCCTTATCATACATGTTTAGCATCACCATGAAGCTCTTATCATTATCAAGTTCAATAAAGCATTGTTCTTTTGCATATTTGTCAACAAATACTATTGACAAAACAATATCGCTTTGTGATGGATAGTGTTTTTTCACCTCTTCAACTAGATGATTTAAGTCGTATGAAAATGTGTCTATATAGAGACATTTTGTAGATCCAAAGCAATACACTTGCCTACATGAGTTCCTAGCTAATCGAAAGAAGCCTCCATATTTCAATTTAAACTTGAATTCCGATATTACTTGTCTGATGACCGCAAAAAAAAAAAAAAAACAGTTAATAAAATTGAAGGGAAACATAAAGTATCATTCATTGTTGATAAAAACTTACTCAATTATGGGCGAGTGAGCACTTATGTCCCATCTCGGTGCATCAACCTCATTATCCATCAAAGAGGAGGATAATAAACTATCTATTGCAAACCAAACATAATTGAATGCAGAGCCAACAATTAATCGAATTAATCGAATGCAAAAAGTTAATCAAAAACCAAAATTAATTGAATTAAGAACAAGATTAACCTGTTGTGATGAAATAACGTGATTTATTACTATGTTTGTAGCAACGATATTTGAATAAACGAAGGCAAAAGTTCTCACGGCTTGAAGAAGAAAACAACGTGATGAAAGCCTTGAAGATTTCACGTTTTTGAGGTTTAGTTTGACGTGTTTGAGGTTTTGACATATTTAATTAGGGTTAATGCTAATTAAGTCTATTTAGTTCTACTATTAATAATTTTGAAAGGGTAATTTAGTACAATCACCTTTTATTTTGATTTTTAAATATATTTTTTGGTATTAAATTGATTAATACCTCATTAAATTATAAGATTTGATATAAATGTGATTTTAATAGGTTAATAAGGATATATACGTAATTATGAACTTTGAAAGGATATAGACGTAATTCTTAATGTTTGCGAGGATATATGTGAAATTTTTCCTAAAATTTTTTATATTGTTCCTATGGCTTCAAGCAACGACAACTACACAAACAAGAATAAAAGGTTTTCTGAATCCAGAAACGACGCACCATTTCCAAAATCGAAACCATGAACCCTAACAAATCCAGTGTTGTTGCATCATCCCTGATCATCTCTGCCTTCTTGATGTTGGCGTATTTTTATCTGGGGGTTGAAACGGTTGAAGATGATATGATAAATGATCAAAAGACAGGCGGAATTCGTGATATTGCGGAACAATCCGTAAACGGGGCCGAGATGGAAACCCTCGCTCGATTCGCCGTCGAACAACACAACAAAAAGGAGGTACGACCTAGCCTTCCTATTTCGTTTTGGTTGTAAATGCTTGATAATTTACGATCCAATCAACTTAATATATGTATTGTTTTCATGGTTTTTGTGATTAATATCCATCTCGAATTTGAGATTGTATATATTGAAAGATTTGAGGAACGTATATCACAGATTTAAGATTGGGAATTCGGTTATATATCGGCTTTAAATCCTTTCTCCATCTTTAGTCGTGATCAGCCATTGATTTACTAATGTATCATTGTATGCAGAACTCATCTCTCAAGTTTTCTAGATTAGTAAAGGCAAGAGAACAGGTGGTGGCTGGTAAGATGTATCATCTGACATTGGAGGCAACAGATGGTGATGGCAAGATAAAAGTATATGAAACTAAAGTTTGGGTGCAGACTTGGAATAACATGAAGCAGATGAAAGAATTTAAGGTTTCTGATGATCCAAATGTCTAGAGTTTAATTGGTGTTAATTTGATACAAGTGTCCATTAACTGCTTGTTGATGAGCTTAAAAAGTTTTGAGTTGCTGATTGTCTTCCTCTAAGGCCCTGTATATTAAGTTTTTATAGTTGGTTTTATGTAAACAATACAATTTACAACTGCAATATGAAATGTCTAGAAGTTAATTGGTGTTAAGAAGATAAAAGTTTCCATTATGCTGCTAGTATCTCCACAACCCTATGAAACAAGACGATAAGTTTGTTCATAGACCAATGATTACAATGTTACATTTTTTGAGAACACACCTTAATAGTGTATATATGTTTTTTGCGGTTTTATTGATATGACAAATCATTTTAAAATATGAAAATTAGTAAACAATACATCTTTGATGGTATAAAATCAAGTCATTTTCAATGGATCGGTTTCTAGATAAAACCGAAGCCAAATTGAAAAGTGCAAATTTTCTTTTGTTTGAAAGCCGTTTGGTTTGTTATTTTTAGTTTTATTTTTTTGATTTTTTCAGTTTTTTTTCGGGCTTAAACCATATTAATGGCGAGAGTGAAGTGTCTTGCTATAAAACAAATATAAACACACATGTTACATTATAGTGGGACGAAATCGAAGAATTAGTTAATTAGGCGTCTTGGAATGGAATTGTTAGTCTTTAGATTGTATTCCACAAGCTAGAAAGACATTAGGCTGGTGGGAGTGTTGATGGGGTGTTGAGTTCCACCTCACCTCCACCTAGGAGTGGTACATTTTTACCATGGCAAGGGAGTGGAGGAGAAGAGAGGGAGAAGAAAGAAAATGTCAAGAATGGGAGAAAAGTGGGAGGAGAGAGAGACTCAACGCAAATATGCCAAACTAGACATTTTCTTTGTCCTTGCTGTGGTGGCAGGACAGTGTTTCTATGGGACACTGGGATGCCATGCACCACCTAAGTCCAGAGGCGGACGCAAGAATACATAGTAGGTGTTGCTTATGCAAGAAAAATATGTAAAAAAAATCGAAAAATCGAATTTTTTTTTTCACTACGGACAGAAAAATTAAGTGTTGCTGGTGTCACACTGGAACACCTACTAAAACCGTCCCTGCCTGAGCCTACCCCACACATTTGCCCCCGTGTACCTAAAACTAATCAATCTGACATCAAAACACAAGTCACTCCGCCAATTAGTTAATAGGGAACGGACTATTACAAATATTTTAACAATTATGAAGTACGGATTTAGACAATGCCTTAAGCATTATCCAAACACACACAACTTCCTAAACTCTTTTTTTAGCTTTCTCTCTTGTTGGTTTTTTAAAGTGAAGTGCGTACATAATAAATTTTCTCCATAAACAACAATTTATATTTTATGAAATTATACAATACAAAATTTGCTAACTCACATGAAATTACCAAATGTTTTCTTTTTAATAAATCACTATTTTTTGGTCATAGTAAATGAAATCGTGATCACTTTTAGTTCATCTGTTAACTCGGTTGGTGAATTCTGAGTCCCAAAAAAGTTTTTAAGTGGTTCCTGTGGCTTCAAGCAACAGCTAACTACGCAAACAGAATAAAAGTCATCTGAATCCGAAAACACCGCGCCAATTCGAAACTATGAACCCTAACAAATTCCCTTTTGTTTCATCGTTGATCATCACTGCCTTCTTGCTGTTCGCCACTTTCGATTTCGGGGTTTGCAGAGTTGAAAAAGGTATGATAAGGTCACAAAAGCTAGGCGGAGTTCGTGATATCACGGAACAAGGCCTAAACGGGGTCGAGATAGAAACCCTCGCTCGATACGCTGTCGAAGAACACAACAAAAAAGAGGTACTGTTTCATGATTTTTACGAGCCTTCTGCCTTCCTATTTTGTTCTCGTTGTCAATATCCCGTAATTTACGATCGAATTTTGTATCTACATGTTTGCTTTTTTACCAATTCACGCATGTATCGTTTCTTACTTTTTGTGATTAGTATTTATCTCCAGTTTGAATAGTATTTAGCGAAGAGCTTTCTTTCTTTCTTTTCTTGATTGAAGTGATATAGATTAATAATTCTGAATCATTTCTGTTATGTGTGCAGAACTCCATTCTCAAGTTTTCTAGATTGATAAAGGCCAAAGAGCAGGTGGTGGCTGGTAAGATGTACTATCTCACATTAGAGGCAACGGATGCTGTTGGAAAGATAAAAGCATACGAAACTAAAGTTTGGGTGAAACCTTGGATTAACTTCAAGCAGATGCAAGAATTTAAGCAGGTTTCCAATGATCTATTCGTGTAGAAATTGGTGTTAATAAGATACAACTGTCCTTTACTGCTTATGTAATCAGTAAAATCTAGCTACTGTTGATTGAACATGGGCTTTTATGTGTATAAAGTTGTATTGTAGTTGGCTTTATGTAAGCAATTACAACTACAATATGAAATGGTGATCAGATTCCTTTATAACTCTGTCAATAATGTGGTCTTGGGGGTTGTATCTTGCACACTGTTCTTGTACTTGACTTCCATGGATAATGACTTTGAAGTATTCTTTTCAAAATATTGTGTTCCCTGTTGCTTTTGTTCTATATTCTCTTTCCAGGAAAACAGCAATCTGTTTGTAGGAAGGTCTCAAGTAACATAGCTTTCAATGTCATGGTCAAAGGGCACTTGTTGTCTCTTTCACAGGAAACATCTTGGATCTTGTTTGAATAATTTGGAGTTGAAATGCCATCTGGCATCTGGATGAGTTGAGGCCTTATTTGGATATATCAGGTCACTATTCTTTTCCTTTTTGTAAGTAGCTTTAAATTGACATGTCTTCTACTTGTTTATTCTCTTCATCTTTCACTTCATTTAGTGTCTTCCAAGAAAGCATGTAACGTCCAATAGCTATTTGATTCCACTTTTATTCTCTTCCAACACATCAAATATCACCTCCAAAGATTGAACCTTTTACTTAAAAAAACACATAGTGATTGGTTTAAAGATGATAAGAATATTGTATCAAAGATATTTGTCCTATAGGTTATAGTATATGTTGAAAATATAATTTTTCCTTCATGTTAGATTGAACTGTGAAAGGCTCTGTAAGTTTTAAATAAACCAAAGGAATAACAACAGTTTCATATATGCACTCTGGAAGGTTATATTTCCTAGAGGATGAAATATTGGACCATATTTTTTGGATATAAAGGGAAACATGGGTGATAGAAAGTCAAATTTCCCATTATACTTGCTGGATTTTGCAACTGCTTCACTGTTAAATGTTGATTCTTGAAAATCTTGACTATGGCTATAATGTAATCCAAGATGTAGACTTTATACACTGTTCTTGAATTCAACTACCTTGAATACACTTTTCAAACCATTGAAGTATTGATCTCTTCTATGCTTTTGTTCAATGCTATGTTTCCAGGAAAACAGCGATTTGTTTGTCTGGAGGTCCCACATAACATACCTTTCAAAGTCATCTTCTTAGGGAACAAATGAACATCTTGGCCCTATGTGGATATATGAAGTGACTAATCTTTCCCTTTTTGTCAACAATTTTTAGTGACTTGACTTTGTCTTGTAATGTTTAGTTGTTGTTTATTCATTTTAAACTGTCATCACGTGTGCATGATTAGAAACATAGCTATCATTCTCACCTAATTACTATTTACTAGTCTTTCATTATAGTGCCCAAGAAGTAGAACCCATGGCTTTGTGTATATATATGTGCTCATATTCATATCTTCTTTCAACACATCAAATTATCTCCCTCCAAGATTGAAAATTTTAATAAAAACCAACATGATGAAAGGCTTGGTTTTAATGAAACTGAATGCAACGCTTCCACCTAAAAGAGGTCAAGTGAAAATACGTATATTTCGTCTCATTATCGAGCTTCTTATATGGAGAAAGTGATTGGTCTACTCGAAATATGCTATCTAAGGACGATCATGGTATTTCTTGAAAATATATACACCTTTTCAAGATTATGAAGCTTTGAGGATTTTAGTACTCGTCTTAGCTTATGTCATCAAAATCTACTCTTTTTTATCAATGAATGTACACATATGGTTTAATATTTATGTCATTTTTCTTCGTGTTTTAAGTTTATGCTCTTCTATGGTAAGCATTTGAAGCAAGTTACCATGACATAGCCTACACTCTTCATTGACAATAGTACTACTAAAAACACATGAATTTATTCGATAAACGCATGTTACGAAAATCATAATGGAATTGGATTGAACAATTAGGTGCATTGGAATGGAACCATGAGTCTTTAGAATTTTATATTGTATTCCACTAGTTAGAAAGGTAGTCATGACCACTTTTGACCACACAAACATATGCATGATTATGCAAAAGAAAAAAAAAAAGCAAGCATGCTACATTCATGTAATTTGGAGACTTGGATGTCTTCATTGTGCCCAATGATTTGCACTTGTTAGGAAAAAGTGACTTTACTTTTTCTCATAAATTTGTGTTATTTTCGAACTATTGATTTTTTGTTGCTTTAATTGTTCCGTACTATGTTTCAAGAAAACAATTTGTTTGTCGGATGGTGCCTAGTGACATAGCTTTCAAAGGGAACAAGTTGGGTGGTAGACCTTTGAAAGTCCTATTCAAAGGGAACATGTTGGATATATTTATAAAGCGAAGTGACTATTCTTTCCCTTTTTGTCAACAATTTGATGTGGCTTGATTGACTTGGGTTGTTTATTCTCTTCATGTTACAATTATCACGTGCGAATGATTAGAAATGTAGCTATTATTGCCACTTAAATTTCGTGTCTTCCACGATATTACCCAAGACCCACATGGCTTTGTATGGGTATAAATATTTGATCCTACTTATTTCCTATTTCAACATGTACATCAAATTCATTCTCTCCTCCAAGATAGTATCTTTTTGAAAAAACGTACAAAACACGCATGATGAAAGGCTTGGTGTTAGTGGAACCGAATGCAAGGCTTCCACCTAAACGAGGTGAAGTAAAAATACGTATTTTTCATCTCATTATCGAGCTTCTTAAGGAGACAGTGATTGGTCTACCCGATGATAATACCAAGGAAGGACACTCGGTACAGTTTAGAGTTTAGAGGGTATGGTGTTTCTTGAAAATATATGCATTTTTTCAAGATTATATATGAAACTCTGTTTTTAATAGGAGTCGAAACTAGTGAGGTGATGAAGGTACTTTGTATGTGGTCGTAGATATTCTTAAACATTATGTCATCAAATTCTACTATTTTCGATCGATGAATATATATTGACATCTACGTTGTTTTTCTTGTTTGAGTCGTATGACATCAAGATTTCATTGTGTTCAAACTTTGCTTACAATGTCAAGCATATGAATATATAACATGAAATGATGGTTATTTAACCTTAATGTTGCATAATGTGGAATGGCTTCATGAAATAATATGGTGTATTGTAATAGAATTAAATAGTTAGGTGATATTCCACTAGAAGAAAAAAAAAGCATATGCATGGTTGTGCTAAAGAAGAAGAAAAAAAGAGCAAGCATGCTACAATATTCATGTAATGTGGAGACTTGGAGATTAACTTGCATTATGTAATCATATTTAATTTCAATAAATATATTATAAAATGTTTAATCTATCTTTTAATCACAACCATTTAGAATACTATTAACTTCTTTTTCTATAGCTCGTGTAATTCATTATCAATAAACTTCAATCCGAATTGTTAAATCGGATGTCTTTCTTGGTTTTTATAATTTATTAGTACATTCATCTCTCTAGTAGTTTGAAATGTATTTGTTGAAGAGCTTTCTTTCATTCTTTTCTTGATTGGTAGGGTGGTCCTAAGTAACATACATAGCTTTCTGAAGTCTTGTTGAGAGGGAACATGCATATTTGGGTGGTAGACCAATGAAAGTCCTTTTCTCAGGGAACATCTATATATGCATGTGACCTTATTTGAATATATCTGGTGACTATTCATTCCCTTTTCTTTGTCAACAATTCAAAAGTGACTTTGACTTAAGTTCTCACGTGTGTATGATTAGAAAGTAGAAACCTAGCTATAAGCTGTCATGAATTCCTACCCACTTTCATGTCTTCCACGATATATAGTACCCATGATCCCAATGGGCCATGGCATTAACTAATTATATATATATATATATATATATATATATATATATATATATATATATATATAATTGTGTAAAAGCTTAATCTATAAAGCAAGCATGCTACATTTATGTAATATTAGGGTGTAAAGTCGGTTGATCATTTTGTATTTTTGCCTAACATGACATGACACATGTTATTTTCTTTAAACCGAACAAGACATGACACGATAATGTGTTTTTTTGTTAACACGAACACGATTCAATAAAAACATTACAAGCACGACAAAAATAAAAACACGGCAAACACATAAGTTCTTGTAAAAAAAGTTAATTTAAATATGGAAAACACAAATAACAAGACGGCATGACACGACGTCATGTTTCTTATACACAATACGAAAACAAATCAAACTTGAATTTCATCCCAATTTCGTTTTGTATCATGTATTTTTGCCGTGTCGTGTTGACTTTTGTCTAATATAGAGACCTAGAGATGCTTCATAGTGCCCAATGATTTAGGTTTGTTAGGAAATAAAGAAAAAAAAAACGACTTTACTTTTTTCTCATAAATTTGTTATGGTGACATTGACATATATAGTTACCATGTTGTAAACTATATCATAATTTTGATATAGTACTGTTAAAAGCACATAAATTTTATTCCATATATAAGCTCTTATCACAAAAGGTGACTTGTAATGGACCAATTAAGTGTTGGATATTGTTATGGATTTCGGAAATTTAAGTTCATGATATTTTAGAGAATTATATTGTGTATTTTTATGCATTGTATTCTCGGCCCAAATATAATCCGGCCCAAAGTTTCTATATAAGTTTGCTATATGTTGCCTGTTAACGAGAGAATGATCTTTGCGGGTAAATACTAGAAGGGATGAGTTTAGGTGGGTACCCGTGTCATTTGGCGAGAAGCAGATCCGTAATCGAAACCGGCGGTTCCTAAAAAGTTAGAACCGGAACTGAAACCAATGTAAACATTTCTTAAAATTTTGGAACCAATCCCCGGAACCGGTTACATAAATTTTATTAACTTTTATCAATAAAACTGGTTACATCAATTTTATTAACTTTTATCGATAAAACCACAACTTAGTTCGGTTCAAGTCGAATTAGCTTGAATCAAAGACGGACAAAAGTTGACCAATATATTCTAAACCGGTCTAAATAACACCCACATATATAATATATAGTATATATATAATATATATATATATATATATATATATAATATATATATATAGCTAGGTTCAAGTATTCTAACTAATTATTGTACATTTATCGTATACTATGAGAATGATAAAAAAAATATGTTGTTTGATAATATAAATACGTTCAATCTTACATAACTAGTGTCATCAACACACATTCTCATAGATTAAATCGTTTATAAGGTTATTATACACTTATTATTATTATTCTTATTTCTATCAGAATGTTGTCAGAATGTTTTATTTGGGTTGTATTCTGTCAGAATAAAAATAAGTGAAAAACGATGTGTGAGAACAAAAATAAATAATAATTAGCAAGAATGCATGAAAATGATGATATTTTGTAAGGTTTAACGTATTCGCATTGCTAAACAACTTATTCATTTAATAATTCTCATAGCATACGATATATATACAATAATTGGTGTGAATACAATACTTGTGTAAATAGACTACCCTAAGCCTATAGCTCGATATATATTCATCCTATCCTATATATATATATATATCTATATCGAGAGAGAGCGAGAAGAGAGAGAGCGAGAGAGAGAGAGCCGAGAGAGCGAGCATTTATTGTGTGGATATAGGGATGATTGTGGACCAATCATTTTAATTATTAATATTTTAAAATAAATTAAATGTATAAGGGTAGTGTGGTAAATTAAGAAATAAATAAATTAGTTTAATTTAAATATAATCCTATTATTATGGTAATTGATTTATTCATTAAACCTATAATTATGGTAGATATCTTTTTTCCTTCGATTCCCTACAATATTTATTATCACATTACCTGCCATCATTACCCTATTTTGATGTCTCCTCCATACCTCGCTCTAATCTTCTCTTCTTCTCACAGCTTTGATCTTATTTTCTTCCACCGACTCCGCTTCTATACAAGATCGTTGTTATCTGTTCATAAATTTTGTCGACCTGCTACTTGAGCTTCGTTATCTCTCGATCACCGATTCTGCTTCTTCAATCTCCTATTTCCAATCGTCGTTCTTAACCTCTTTACATTTTCTAGGTTTTGATCTTTCTACACCTCTCCGTTATCGATTTTATTCTCCCAAAATCCTTCCTCCCTCCCACCTCCTACCTCCCTCTCTCATCAGCAACCTCCAGTCGTCTCTCTTCGCCAGCACCGCTGCCTCCGCCATTGTATTCGGTTGCTCTGCTTCGATTTATCCTTTTTTTGGGTTTCTTCAGTTCTTTCGCTCAGTTTACATGGAAGTTGTTTAATTTATGGTCACGTATTGGAATCAATGTCTTTTTCTATGTAACTTTTGATGCTTATGACTGTAATTTGTTCCTCCGCTTGAGAGTGTATTTGCTAATTTTCTCAAGACAAAATTGCAAAAATAGTCCTTGT